GGCGGCGGCGCCGGAGAGCTGCTGCCCTCTAGCATAGCCATCGAAGGCGGCGGGCAGCGGGTGGTGGCTGCTGTTGATGAGCGCCTCCACGGCGTCCTCCGGGCTGAAGGCGAGCGCCTCGGGGTTGAGCTGCTGCGGGTAGCCCGTCATCCAGTAGTAGTCTTCCAGGTGGCTCTTGTGGTCCGTGCCCGAGCCCGGGCTGGGCGCCGAGAAGCTGGGCGAGGGCGGCACGGAGCTGCAGGGCGTGCTCATCGGCGTGGAGGAGAGCGAGCCGCCCGCGATCAGGCGGCCGCACTGGCTGATAATGCGGTCGGTCTCCACCGGCTCCTTTTTCACTTCAAACTTCATCAGATCGAAGTCATTAACATATTCCATGGCCAGGGGACTGGTGGGCAGGTCGGAGTTGCTCATTGCCAGTTCTGATGCCATCCTTTTGCTGCTCGCAGTCCTCCAGAAAGGGTGCGCGCCGGCAGCGAGGGGAGCGCTCTGAGTTGCCGCCGGGTGAGCCAGCTTGGGGTCTTGCGGTGTCGGGGCTCGTGCGCTCTCTCCTGCCTCCGCCTCGCTCCGCCAGCCCCTCGCAGCCTCCGCTCCAATTTGCACCGCCGGATTTTTTTTCCTCTCTCGGTTATCCTTTGCAGAGTCTACGGTGCTGCTGATGCATCAGAGCGAGTAGCTCTTTCTATTCGCCTTTTGCATGAAGGTTTTTTTTTTTTTCTTCTCTCCCTCCTCTCTCTCTCTTTTGCAGCTTGCAAACTGCAGCTGGAACTGTTAGCTGTTGTTGCCGCGAGTAAATCTTTCCCTTTTTGTTTGCTTTTTCTTTTTTTTTGCTTTTTGCTGTGTTATTTTAACACTTCATGGTGTCTTTCCTCCGGTCTTTTCCGTGCAAAGTGCAGAGCGAGAAGAGAGGTTCATCGAGGAGAAAAAAAAAAAAAAAAAAGGAGGAGGAGGGAAAAGAGACCGAAAAAAAAATCAAAGTCAATATCGCGACCAAAATAATAATAATTAAAAAAGAGAGAGAAAAAAAAAACTCAACCCCAAAGCTACAGCAAGAAGATGAAAAATATTTTAAAGGTTTCATCCAGCAGGAGAGTTTAAAAGCATTGCTGAGTTTTATAGCAGTCGTGACGTCAGCTTTCAAATGGGAAATTGACTCGGCGCGCCGGCCAATGGGCTGCGCCGCTCGCGGCCCTCATTAGCATAATAGTATAGAAACAAGGAAAGTTTTGGGCGCTGTCAATCAGCGCGATCAGCTGACTGTCAGCTGGGAGAGCCCTTAACTCCTGCCTGCCCGGGCGGCGCGGATCGGCCCGGATCGGCCCGGCCTGGCCCGGCCCGCGGGGCGCTGCAGTCCGGCCCAGTTTCGCTCCGCGCCGCCG